TCCGATACTGTGGATTAACCCAGCTCAGCCTTCCCCCATCACAGCAGCCAAAGCACAAACCAGCAAGTGCCAGCAGCGCCAGGCAAGTGCTCCGTCTTAACATCTTCCTCCTACGCTCGCTGAGCTACAGCTTACAAACAGGTATGTTTATTCATCTTTTTACTCCCAGAATCACGCTTTAGATTAAATACTTTTTCCATTTCTCTTCCCCAGTGAGTTAGGGAGCACACAACATGCATCACCCTCTGTCTTTATTTCTTGCAGGCAGATTCTTCCCCCATCCCCTCCTAAAAGGCTCTTTGCATTCCCTGGAACATTTTAATCCCTCTTCTCCACAGCTGCTCCACTCATGAGCAGAAGTGTGTTCAGTACTGCCGGGGAACATGAGAATCCTAACATGTCTTTTCTTTACTGGAATTACCTCTTCTGAGGTGCCCCTTTGCATTTTTCATGCATGAGAATGGCAGCTCATGGTCATTTTAGGATCAGGAAAGACAAATAATGATACGACCCCACATCATTCTTTAGGATTTCAGGGATGAAAAAGGGAAAACGTGGAACTATTAAAGATAAATCTAACAAGAATAAAACACAAACTAGGTTACAACTAGCTAACAGAAACAAAATGTACCAAGGATGTGGTAAGAGCGACTCTTCAAATGTAATAAAGGAAAAAGTTAACATCAATATATCCAAGAGTGGCAAAAAAATTCAAAATCCTCAGAGGTGGTATTATTAAAGAAAAAAAAAACCCTTTACAGGATCTACCAATTACCGGTGTGTCCACCATAAACAACTTTGTAAATAACCGCTCCTGTTTCCACCATCATTCTCCGTGTTCTTGTTTTGCTGGCTTCCCAACAAATGTTTTAATGGTTCTTATTGCCAAGGAGCACCCTCTCACTGCCGTGACTCAAGGTCCTCAATAACTACTTCTCTGTTGTGAAATCTAATGTGAAGGCCAAACACTACCAGCCCACAGCATACTAAGTTCTAATAAATTGCTTAATTAATATATTCAATCCAAATGACAAATTATGTTACATCCTTTACTTCCATGTCTTTAATTATCCTGTCTTTCAAAACATTTTAAGAAATCTTACATCACACGGTCAGTTTTAAAAGCCATAGATTTATGGCTATGGGCTGATTTCATCATTTATTTCCTTCTTTCTTATACGTTTCAGCTCATACAGCTTTTTGCCTAGATTTATTATTTTTAGAATCATATGGAAGACCTAAGCTGTATGTACATCTATTCCTAAACACAGAATATGAGATAAATATGAAGTGTTATGTGGGTGGAAAAAAACAATCCTGATTTTGTCTATAAAGAAACGGCCTCCTAATAATGTTAATGTTCAGGATAAAATAATCAAATTCAAAAAGAGTCCAATGAAAATATTCAACTCAGTGCCAAGCAGTAGTCAAAAAGGAAAGGACTGGACAAAATGCAGGCAAAAAGCATTAGCGATGCTCTTGTAGCCTTCAGGGAAGGGAAGAAGGTACAAGTTCAGGAATGGTACAATTTGATAACCTTTTTTATGTTCTATATAATTTACATTAACTATGAACTAAACAAATAGGTGTGGCAAATGAGGTTTTCATAACATTTAGAAAGGAATAATGGTTTGGGGTTTTATTTCTAAAAGTCAAATTCACTGTCACATATCTGGCACATTTGACAAACCCAGAAGTGCGTGGTACACAAGAAAAATTCTTTTTAACCTCCTTGTCTGTATGATACACACATTAACCTCACAGGTTAGCGGGCTGGGGAGGAAAGCAGGTAAGTAAGAGCAAATGTGTATGTGAGAGGGACTTCAGTAGTCCACGTGTAGGTTGGTTCCTCAATCTCACACGCAAGTCCACACTTCCACATTTTCGCTATGCACTCCCACTTCAGCCTTCACTGAATTTATGCAGTTCTGGCACAGATTTCCAGTATGGTTTTAGGTCACACACTGGCAGAGAATGAAAATTCACCATGAAGAACAGCTGCTTTGAGAGACACACTCAAATGTGCAACGTGAATTCTCCCTCATACGAGTCGTGCATATACATGGGCATCAAATGAGCTGAAAATAGAGGTTACGATTTGTGTTTAAAACATGACTCTGAGAACTGGAGATAGTCTTAGTCTGCTGTTACACACTAGAGCCAAAAGAATAATTACAGACTAGAAAGGAGCTTAAGAACGCACTTGGATATTACAGGTCCGTGTGAGATAAGGAGCATAAAGCAGTCAGGATTAAATGTCAGCCTTAACAGTGATTTCCTCACATCTGTGATTGGCCTGATAGGTGATGGGCTTTAGTAGCTCTCCTTAATGTTAAATTACAAGAGCTTAGGGAGCAGAGACAGCTACAAAGTAGAAAAAAAACCCCTAAACCTGACAAACCTCATGAACGTTCTTGTAATTTTATATATCTTAACTCTCACGTAATTGTCCCATGGAAATCCTTCAGTATATTACTGCAGGTATATTCAGTATATTACCCAGGGACTGAAGGAAAACATTACAAAACATGCAAAAGCATTTAAAGAAATTCTAGTTACACTGGCTTCTGAAATACTCCAGTATTAGCTTGTGTGTGATCTTGTCCATCTGACTGGCTCTGTAATGTTCAAACTGTCATATTAACGCATATACACATTCAGAATAAGTGCATAGTTTAGTGCTCAGCCAGTTGTTGCTAACGCATTAAGCAGTAACGCTCACCTCAAAAATATTATTTTATTTGGTGTCATGCTTCAAGTAATCGATGAAAATTGGCCTTCAGTCTTAGCCCTCAAAACAATGCAGGTTACCTGGTATAACATTGCACAGTCTGTACAATTATTTACAACGTCCCAAGAAACCTTCACTGAAAACCACCCTTTTGCTTCACACAATTAGCTATAATTAATTCTCTGTAGATTTTTTAATCAAACTGTGTAAAAGATCAAACTACTTCCTTAGGTAGAGCTGCAATTCTTGAAAATTTATCTTTTTTTGGAGTAGACTAAGTAAGCAAATTTATCAGTTTCAGCTGGGGATGATGCATATTTTCACAACATGAATAAATGAAATCAGTAACCTTTTCCATCAGGATTCTGCTCATGCTCTTTTTTTTTTGCCTATATAGTTTTCAGTAAAATATATCGTCATATTTTATACATCTCATGAGACTCT